TCACGCCAGTGAGGAGGTCGGAATGCCTCCACCCCGCCCAGCAATGCCAATATTCGAAGATACAGACTTGGCAAGGTTGAATGCCACTCCTTTCTCCTTGGAAATAGAAACAACGCCGCTTCCGGCAGGCTTCCACCAGCCTAAGTTCACGCTCTACGACGGCAAAACCGATCCTTATATGCATGTGAGCCACTTCCGTCAGGTCATGGCCGGACATAGGCGGAATGACGGACTTATGTGCCTAATCTTCCCGTCCAGTTTAGGTGAGCTGGGCTTAAAGTGGTTTGAGAGGTTGCCGGAAGGGAGCATACAAAGGTGGCATCAGTTGGCCGAGGCGTTTGTTACGCGCTTCAAAACCAACACAAAAACACCAAAGGAAGTCGATCACTTGCTTAGTGTCAAGATGGAACCGTGCGACACACTGAAGGCATACAATTCAAGGTATTGGGAGACCTTCAACGAGATCCTGGATTGCCCGGTCAACCTTGCAATCACGCAATATAAGCGTGGTCTCCCGGTCGGACATAGACTGCGGGACTCGCTTACCATGCACCAGCCGACCTCCATGGGCCAGCTCATGCAGCGCATCAATGAGCACATCCGAGTAGAGGATGATGCGTCAGCTTCCACCGTGAAGGCGACTCCAGTCGGAACAGACAAGAAGACAGCAGGCAAAGTGCACGCAGTTGGGCAAGAGTCCAGCCGCTCAAATGACCGAGCAGAGGAATCAGACCGAGGTTCAAATCGTAAAAACCGGGGTAGAGGACGTCGGAATGACCGGGATGACTACCCCCGAGATGACGGTGAGGACGCAAACAGGAGAATGAAGGCAAGGACTGGCATAACCACGGTCTTCAAGATTCCAATCTATCGCATACTTAGCGAAATCCGAGACGAGGAGTATGTCCGGTTTCCTGCTAAGTTGGGCGATGGACAAAAGGGGTACAATCCGCGGTATCGTTGTACGTTTCACCGGGAAAGGGGCCACCGAACTGAGGACTGTTTGCCTTTGCGACAACATTTGGAAGAATTGGTCGCGGCCGGGCATCTGGACCTTTACATTGATGGCGGCGTGAAACCAAATCAGGCTCCGGTCGATCCCAGGGGACAGGATGACCGAGATGCACCACCACAAGGAGTTATTAATGTCATCCACGGCATCGTGGAACCGGAGCGCGTTTGCGAACTCCGGGGCATGATCAAGAAGGCAGAGCATATGAGGGAAGTTTTGTCAGTACAGCCTGCCATCAAAAGGGGGAAGACAGAGGAGAAAGATGTGATTAGTTTCACCTCAAGGGATTTAGAGCGTATCCAGACGCCGCACAACGATGCTCTTGTAGTAACACTACGCGTCAAAGAATTTGATGTTAGACGAATCTTGATCGATCAGGGAAGCTCGGTCGAAATCATGTATTATGATGCGTCTCAATTTGAGATATAACAGCACAAATTGAATTGTTTTGGTTAAAACCCATATCGAATCATACAAATCAGATCGTGAATCGTAAGAGTCTAGCAAGCATGCTTCTCTCCTCTTCTTCAGCTCCACCTTTCTTTCTTTCTTCTTTTTGTCTATTGCAGTCTGAG